GAGAGAGAGAAATGAACACCAGTGAACACATGAAATGATCAAGCCACACAAGAACCTATGGGGTATTCTGTCCCAAATCCCCACCACTAAAGGGGCCAGTGCCCGCGTGGGTGCCACATGGTAGGCAAACCAAGGCAAGGCCTTAGTGTCACGGTGAGGGGCAGTCTACCTCCACCGAGGAGTCTGAATTCCAGAGCAGCTCTGCTGTGAAAATATTTCCTGTGAGAGCCTGAGAAACCAGGAGTAGCAGCAGCTCTTTAGCAGGGATGAATTTCATTTGTCTGGCACATCCATTTCAAGAGTGAAGCTCTAAATGGACATTTTGTCATTGAAGATTGATGATGAGACAGTGCACCTCTGCTGCAGCAAATGGGCAAAGAATATTCTTTTACGCTGAGCTTATCTCCTGCTTGTCAGAACATTGCTCCACCTGGATTCCTCCTTAATTTTCTTCTTTTCTTTTTTCTGATCCCATACATTTTAATATATACATATAAAGTAAAACTGATGGAAAAAATTTATTGCAAAGATTTTAGAATTTACTGCACATCATCAAAAACTCGCATTGTCTCGTCACTGAAAGTTTAGATTCAAATTCAGCTCCTTGTCCTTAACTTTCTATTTTAAATGGGGAGACCACAGTTCATTGTTTCCTGAGCAGGGCTTTGGAAAATATTCTGAGAAAGAAAAATCCTCAGTGATTTTATTTTCTAATGAGGCTTAAAACTAGTATCTGGACAAAGAGCTTGCACACACACACACACACACACAAAAAAAAAGGCCTTCAAGACAAAAAGGGCTTAAAGCCAGGTAGGGGAAGAGAATAGTTCAAGATTAACTTAGTGTCTTCTCTGATCTCCAGTATTTAGGTTTTATAAAATGAAAAATGGAGAGAAGGATTCTAGACCAAAAGCCAGTCATGAGCCTGTACATGCATATTTTCTTCCTGGTGAGTCAGCAGGTCTAGTTGATGCTTGTGTAGGAGACGGAGAAGAAATTGTCCGCAGGTCTCTGTGCTCCCACCATTTGCTTTGCCCATTGCTGTGCTGTATTTTCCATCTTTGAGAGTCTAAGAATATGCTCAAAGAGTGCATGAATACAAGAAGGCATACTGCTTGATGGCTTGGAGGGTCATCTTTAGTGGCAGACAGTGCTCCTAACAGCCTGTGCATTATATACTTCATCCTCATAGAAGTCAGTTTTGAGGGTTGTGGGGAAATTATTATATTTAATTTTATTTTCCTTTATAATGGAGCAGGTTGCTTTAAAGACCAAGTGGTTACAAGTGATAACATTTCTTGGACCTATCTGCAATGCTAAAGCCTAGACCTCCTGGCTCTGCAGCCAGTGCCTAACCCACAAGGCCACAGTGCCTGCCCATCTGCTGAGAGATCGAACCTCTCTCTGCTCTGCTTACCACATCTAAAACTTGTGGCTAACAGGAGTGGTCTGCATTCTCCTAGTGCATTTTCACCTGTAGATTGCAAAGCATATCTTAAAGTGGATATACATTACTTACCTATTTCTACTGTTGACCTAAGTATAGAAATTTGAAGCAATGCTTACACTAGGTGTACCGTGCCTGGATTTCAATATATGGGGTTTATGTTCCCAGCTTGTTGTGGCACATCACTTAAAATCTGAGCTCACAGTGTCTGATATGGAAAAAAAAAAGGAGTAAAACTTCTGGTTGCTTCCACATGGCTATGGTGTGCAGTTGCTGAAGTGCTTGAGATCTGCAGGCACTAACATGTTGCTGCAGTGAGAGAGGATTAGTAAGGGCCTGTTCTGTATCCAGCAGTGATAAGTTTCCTCCCTGTGGCATAAAGATGCTTCAGAACCTGAGTTTGTCTCATTTCCTCTAGAATCCCTTCAACCCCATTTGGCCTCCACAGAAGGGCAGGAACTGGCCCCTACATTGCAGGAATCAGGCAAGCACCTGGATCTGAACTGGAGAGGCTTAGAGGTAACAAGAGATCTACAGCTGGAGCTTGGAGATGTCTTATTTCAAACATGCTATCTCATTTTGTAGACAGAAATATTTTTACTCTACCATTTATTTTCTCCCACATTCAATGACGAAGCCCAGTGCTGTGCTCTCAAACAGTACCAGCTTCTGGAGAACTCAGCTGTCCCTGCTTTGCTTCTTGCCTGAGCCAGAATAAGGCTCTACATAGCATTCAGAGCAAGTGCAATGAAAGACAGTTTCATTATACAGATACAAGGCTCAAAGAAATGCCAGGCACAATAAGAGACAATAAAAAATGGATCCCTTTAATAGCTTTTAAGAGAAAAAAAAATATTTTTTCATTTAAAATGTCAGTTGTGACTTTTCAACAAGAATTTTGCTCTATGAATTTCCAAGAACAGGAGCCCATTTTGCTTAACACATTGAGTTATAACATGACATGAAACCAACCTTTAAATGGAGCCTGATTTACATATTTTAACATAATCCTTGCTCCGTAACACTAACAATATTATTCTCCATTTGGAACTACAGGCTTTCCTTTTTTTTTGCTGTGTTATTTGTATGAGGTGTATCTGGGATGCATGAAAGGAGGCAGAAATTGTGAAAATGCCTAGGAGTACATTTTATTTTATACTTAATACTTCTGGAGTTAAAGGGAAGATGGAAATTGACCATGAAATGGATCTTAGCTGTAGAGAATTATCATATTCTGGCAATAAAGTATTGCCTGTCTCAAGGGCTCACACACACAGCTTGACCTCAGAGCAGTTGCACATAATGTTTTCTCTGTCAAGAGAATCTATTCATAATGACGTGTCACAGGTGCTCACACATCATAATATGTTTCACGTCAAAACTGATCATCCAGATCTTATATACCAGCTCTGATGACAAATATTTTGTACTTTAGTTGCTTTTTCTTCCCTCTGCCAGAGTTAATGAAGGAAAGTCAAGGATAATTTTGAAATAATGTCAGCTTCTTACATCACATTACTGTGTCTGCCTTTGAAAGTAGCTTCATACAAGAGCCACAAGACAAGGTGAGAGAGACAGGGACATTTTCACTTACTTATCTTTAAAAAGAAAGCCAAATCTTGGGCTTTTAATTTCAGAATCAATATACTCTATATCTTTGGAATCTTCTCAGGAAAAAAAAAAGTACAGTTATTGAGCCCTCAGTAACTTGAGAGTCTAGTGAAAGCAAGTCTGATAACTGAATTGGGATTGTAGCTTCTCACTACGCAGAATGTTGTTTTTTCTCATAGTATTGGTGTGTTCTGTGTGGTAAATACATTTTCCTCCAAGCTTTTCTACAAAGTGAGAGACTCAGGGGACAGAGAGAATTGGGTTCTTATATTCTCATTGAAATTGTTTGTACGCAGCAGGGCCAAAGTTTGCTCTTCTCCTACGTATTCAGCCCTACTGAGGGAAATAACCCTCGTTCCTCATTCTATTAATGAAAGAGGAAAAGTGAACTTGAACTCCCTTTGAGGTTTCTCAGATTGGAGGACTGCTCATTGAAACCTCAGAGCATAGAGGAGTGCTTTTGCCATTCATGGACTCAGTCTTTTCTGCCAAAACTGTAAGTGAACAAAGTAAAGAGGTATTCCTGAACTTCCCTGCAACCAGGCAAACTCCCCTGAGCTAGCAGAGAGTGGTGGCTTTCAACCTGTAAGCCATGGATTCATATGGGCTTCTGGTCTTCAACCAAGGGATCCACAGAAGGGAGCTGGCAAAAACAAGTTCATTGTGTATGCAAGCTATTTAGCAGTGTTTGCAGATAAAAATAAAATCAAAACACTAAAATACGCAATCAAAGTATGGCATGTGCATATTTATAAAATGATCCCTGGCTTGAGGAGAAGGCAGAACAGGAAGCCAACAGTATTTACAAATGGGACTTACAAATGTAAATGAGGACTGGATATCTCTTACATATGAAATATAACCAGATGTCTCAGGCTGAGAGATAAAATCTTACACTTAGAAAAATGACTGGGTTTTTCATACAAGACAAGGCCAAAAAAGAGGGGATGCAGAGTCTTGAGCTATTTGATGCTTCATTATTTTTCAGATCCAACTCTTATTTAAGAATGCAACCAAGAAGGATTTAAACACAGGTAACAACTTCTAAAGTACAGGAATATGCAAAACATTATTCTCTACTACTGAGAAGTAATACACTGATTAATGTCTGCTACTGAAATGATAGTCTGCAATAGCATCCTCTTTTCTGCTGCTCCCAAACCCCTAAAGAAGAACTATGTAGTCTTAAGCAGTGAGCATAGTAAGTTTTCCTTTCCTTGTTTGAAGAATTAGAACAATTTGATTGAAAGGCAAATATAATCCTACCTATGCTCCATGCTGGGACTGGAGCAGGGTAAATGCCACAGTTAAGCCTGAACATCAGGTTGTAATTGTTAGAGATTAAAAACATGCCAGAGAGAACATTCCAAGGAAAGAAGGAGGGTGAGAAGGATGGCTCTCTTGTGTCTTTTTATTAAGGTAAATTAGCATCAGATCAGAACAAGGGCATATTCCTGCACAGCAGAACTTAATCAAATGGCATTTAGTCAATGAAGGAAATTATAGACTAGGTTGTTTTTTAATCATTCAGCTAGGAAAAGCAAGGATAAGTGAACAAGTATTTATCTGCTGAGCCAAGTGCATAGAAGGCACAAAAGCCACTGAAAATAACTAAAAAATAAAATAACTGTTCTCTAGGATGCTGCTCTTCCATAAAGTCTATTTCAAATATAATCCGCTGTTAGATATTTCTGCAAGATGTAAGCACATCAGCTGAGCTTCTCATTTTTATGCAGATTAAATAATTGCTGAAATGAAATGTCAGGTCATAAGAGACACAAGAAAAAATGAAGCAATTTTTAAGAGCTGTCAGAGAGGTGGATGATCCACCCTTCTCCACCCTCCTAAATACAGAGGAGCCAATATTACCAGGTCTTGTCTAATTTCTTGTTTTCTCACACATCTGTTTTTGTTGTTTTTCTTTTAATGCTTGTCTTCTCAGTGCATCCTAACGTGAGCCAGGGTTGCCAAGGAGGGTGCGCTACATGTTCTGACTACAATGGATGCCTGTCATGTAAGCCCAGACTCTTTTTTGTTCTGGAGAGGATTGGCATGAAACAGATTGGAGTATGTCTTTCCTCGTGTCCAAGCGGATACTATGGGACACGGTATCCCGACATTAATAAGTGTGCAAGTAAGTGCTGGGGAAAGGGGAAGCACATGGATTTGTTTGTTCTCTCTTGAATGCTGTGTCTCCTTAGGAGTCAAGTCAACAGAGAAGCAGACGGACTGGCCATGTCTTTATTCGTTCAGTTCTTTTATAGTAGTGGCATAAATATGAACCCAAGCAAGATGTTATGGTGAAAAATCACAAAATGGCCTAAAGCTCAGTGGTCCTAGCTCTGCATTAATGACCTGCTTTGGACCCACGTAACAGCCTCCTCCTTTACATTCCCATGCAAAAGAGAAGTGCTAGTGGGTGCTAGGCACTGTCATCTGCCAGAAAGAGGGAGCAGTGGCAGCTCCAAAGAGTAGGGTCTGAGGGACACTGGATCTCAGAGGCTGGAGCCATTTAACCTACTGCCCTTACCCACCTGTCCCCCGAGACAAGGAGAGAAGATAGCCGGTGGCACTCTGGTCATGTGGCTTGCCCTGCTCTCTTTATAGTTTGTCTCACCCTCAGTATAGGCTGCTAAATGCCTGTAGCACCTGGCCAGGTTTCAGCCTGCCTTGGGGGAAATTACCTATTCATGTTGCCTCTGGGCTGGGAGACAGTAGACCCAACTCTGTTTTTCACTGCTTAGGCAACATTTTGACCCCACTATGTATTTTGAACCATAAATGAACTGGAAAAGATCACAATGTCCTCCCCACTCCTGTTTATGTTGTTGAATTCACTGTTTTTAATCCCACAGGTGATACAAAAACATAAGAGTGACAGCCAAGCAACTCTCCCAGTTTTTAGCTGGTAATAAAAGTTATTTAATGAACAGACCACAGAGTAAAGTCTTACAGAGTAACTTGAAACTGTAAAGTATTTGCTCACTTTTTAGCAGTGTGTGGCCTTGCATATCAGACATGAGCTGTGTCATACACAAGTTTTTATGTATTCTTCAAAAAATATCTGAGAACTGGGAAATATATCACCAATGCAAATTTGGGTAGTCAGTTAAAGAATGCATGAAATACAACAGAACACCTGAATGAACATCAGGGAGTAATTTAAAAGAAGAAAAAGTTGTTGATGCAAAACAGCCCTAAGCAGATTCTAAATTCTGGCATCTTTTTATTTCTCCTGGATGAATGTAGATAAACAGTGTGGAACTGTCCCAGTACCTCTGCCCTGTGGTATTAATTAATATCTATGCTATGTCAGTGTAGGGCAGAAGCAGTATTTTGTGATGCTGATGTGCTGTACTCTGTCTTCAGTTTGCATAGGTCTGCAAGAAGACAAGCAGCATGAGGCCATTCAGCATCAGGTTGTCCTTATTAAATCCCTACTCATGCCAAAGTCACTTGTGAGTGGCCTCACTCTGTGTACAGGCCATGAAGATCTAAATATAATTTGATCCCTTTGAAAACTGTTTAACATTGCTAGAATCATGTGATTCTGGTATATGTGAGAGCCCATGGTGATTCATGGCAAAAAGCAACAACATTGTTGTTTACTGTTTGCATTTCAGAATGTAAAGCTGACTGTGATACCTGCTTCACCAGAAACTTCTGCACAAAGTGTAAAAGTGGGTTTTACTTATACAGTGGAAAGTGCCTTGAAAAGTGCCCTGATGGGCTGGAAGCCAACAATCACACAATGGAGTGCACTAGCATCGGTAAGTTCCGTTCCTCCGTGTCCTGCCTGGTTTTCTCACAAGGAATGGGAGATCTAAGGAGGACATGAGTTGCAAGTTCAGTTACAAAACCAGGGAAATGCAACTTAAAATGGAAATGTTCTGCATCACAAGATGTATTCCCTGGCACAACAAACCCAAAGCATTTCCCAAATCTGCCATTTCACAAGAGGCACAAGCTCAGTTGAGCCCCACAAACACAGGCTTGATGCTAAGGGTAACTCTGCCTCAGGAAATACAGCCTGTTTGGTCTGCCCTGAGGTAGAATGACATCCATCTCTTGCTTGCTCTGTTACAGTGTTATGCAGCAACGGTAACATCAAAGGTTCAAGGCCTCACATCTAGTTGAAAGATTAAAATACTAACTGCTTTGCTTTAGCCCCCTTGTACTACCTGAGCCTTCAAAGCACGCATGCATCAACATTTGGAAGCTTAACTTCACAAAGGTGAAGGCTAGAAACTAAAACATTTAGAAAAAAAAAAAAAAAGGAAGAAAAAGCCCTCCAAACCCCAAAATTATTTATATGCATCATCACCTGACTCCAGAAACTGAGGATTAAAATAAAACACCAAATAGTGTGACACTGTCACTGAAGGGATGAGATTGGCGACACAGGTCCCGTGACTCACCGGCTGCGGAGAAAAGAGCTGCTTTTGTACCAGTCCAGCCTGATTCACAAGTTCCTATTATTCACACTGGGGCAATTTTGGAGTTCACCACACCTAACTGTCTGCTCCATCCCTCTGTCACCCCTCTGGTTGAAAGCAGAACAAGAGATATATTTGCCTCTGGGCTGATGCAGCTGACTTCCCCTGCCGTGGGCTTGCGGAAGCTGCGGCAAGGTTCAGCTTGTTTTAGTCCGCTGGCTGTGAATTGTGGTGGCTGAGGGCTGTGAACTGCGGTGGGCGCGGTAACCTTTTCAGCCACCAGCAACTAGGGAGCACTTAGACGCAGTCTGGCCATGATGGAAATCTCCTCCCTCACAGTATCATGTATATAGCTCTCCCTGGCATCGCATGTTCTGGAGGGGAAGTAATGCAGGAATAAAAATAATGTACAGCAATTTGGCATTTTCCTTCTCAAATACATATTAGTTCAGGTGGTAGTGACAGGTTTTACGGCTTTATTCTCAAGAAAAGATTTTCACCTTTGAAAGAAATTCAAGGAATGTTTTTTGTTTCTTGATGGCTGAGTGCTGTAGACTTAGTTGCTTTAACAATGAGTCAGTCTCAACTAGGAAAAGCCATTTAAAGCTACAGAAGAAAAACAGAACCTTTTTGTGCACGTGAAAGCCAATTATTTTAACAGGAGAGCTCCAGTGTAATATGAAAAACAAAATGACCCACATGACAATTCACTGGAGGAAGGCTCCAAGATTGCCTGGAATCAGTTATATTTTTAGGTTCACAAAAATTTGGAAGTAAATTCTGGAGCTGGAAAAAAAGGTTGACATACAAATTCCTCCTTATAGAGGGGCTGGAAGGCTTTCCTTCTTCAGCCATAGTTTATAGTCTTAAGCACGCATGTGAACATAAAGTAAATATAAATGTTTACTATATTTTATCAAGAGAAGGATACTGAGGAGATGGCACAAAAGAAGGATAGTTATTAAGAGCACTTTGTTAAGCTTCCAAGATTACTCCCATTTTTGTCTCCACTGTTTGGACAAGTGTCCAGCTGCATAGCTTTTGAGTTCCCAATAGTACAGGATGCGCATTAAGATCACTGTAGTTTAGAAACTGTAACTCGTACTTTTCTGAAAAGCTTGCACACTCCCCCGACCCAAATTCTCCTCTGCTTTGCCTACTTACAGCTTGTATATGCTAGATGATGGCTCTTTAACTATGCAAGCTGAATACCAAGCAGCAGATCACCAAAGATACTTGATTCTTAATGTAATGCCTTTTGATATCAGTTAGTCCTTTATAACTATTGATTTCCAGGCTCAATACCTTTGAGACCAGCTGCAGCAGCTTAACCCAATGACTTCACTCTCCTTCCACATAGACATGACCAAAGATTAATTCCACTGAAGCTACAACAATTTATACCTCCACAAAAACAAAGCAATCTCAGAACAAGCCCCAGTAACTGATTTCACTGAGACCAATTTTGTTGTTGTTGCCTCATTTCAGGAATGGAACTATGAAACAGTGGGTACAAAATAGTAACCGACATAATTATTTGATATTATTTTGTGCAGTATATCCTCAGCAGGATATTTCTGTCAATTCACTGCTGTAAATACTGATTAATTCTATTAATATTATGCCACCTTTTGGCTGATGCAGAATAAAATTAATGTACCATATGTGTTGTGTATACAAAAGGATATTGGCCAGGCTTAGCTTGTCCTATGTTTATTGCAGTGCACTGTGAAGCTAGTGAGTGGAGTCCATGGAGCCCTTGCACAAAGAAAGGAAAAACATGTGGTTTCAAAAGAGGAAATGAAGTAAGGGTCAGAGAGATCGTACAGCATCCATCAGCAAGGGGTAATCCTTGCCCAGCTACAAGCGAGAGCAGAAAATGTATTGTACAAAGAAAGAGATGTCAGAAGGAAGGAAAAGGTACCACGTTATCATCATCATAATATGCAATTGGTATTGTCTTTGTTTAATAACTCATGTCTGAATTCCCAGGCCTCAAATGCAGGCTTCACGAAAGCTTCCACTGATATGGTATTCTTTGGGCTGGAGAGAACTGTGTCATTGCCTGGAGTAAATAAAGTCCTAATGCTGCTCAAAAAATGTGCTTTGTGTGATCAAGAGAGGACAGGGTGGTCTGGATGGGAAGGCACATTCTCTCTCGGTTCTGCCGAAAGAGCTGTCAAGATGAGGGGTTGCATGTGGAGCTCAGAACAAAAAGATGCATCATAAAACTTGTCATGGTAGAAGTTGTTTATTGGGCATCAGGCAGCTAAGTTTCATACTTCAACCATGGGATTCCTCCAAATCAATTCCTCTTTCATGCTTCCCTTCAGGTAAGACCTTAACTCTTGCAATTGCAGCGCTGTGGTCTCTCTCCCACTCTGAACTCTTTCAACTAGCTCTGGTTGAACAACGTAGCCTGTTCTGCATCTGGCTTATGAAGTCTCAGCATGGAAGAAAGACCACAATACTGCGTGGCAGTCAAGGGAAATTACACTTGGTGTTGCCCAACAAGCAAGAGTGCCAGCAGAATTGCCTTTTAGTGCAAGCCAGCTTCTCCATTACAGCACCTAGTGAATGGCATCCCATGTGTTAAAAATAGGAGACGCTTAAGAAGTCTATGATGTAATAATTTATACAAATTCCACCCAGGAGATACTGTTGTTCAGTTGTTTCATTTTCTCCCCTTCTTGCAGCAGGGAAATTACTTGCTGTGCCCCTAGTGCAGTTACTTGGGTTGGCTCTGGAGTGTCAATGGAATACTTCCTTTTCCCCTTCCCTCCCATTTTCCCCATCCTTCCCATTTTTCCATCCCTTCTATTTCCCCCTTTCCGCTCAACTCAAAAGCAAGGTTTCCTCCCTTTTGAGGATGAGTGGAACAGCTGGAGCAGCCGTCCTCTGTGTGAACATCTGTGAGCCAGCATGAGCTGCTGGTACCAAGCAGTAATGTACTGCTTCTTTGTTAAATAATCACTACGGTTGCTGTAGATTACTTACAGAAATGCTAAAGGCGTTTGGAGCTTGTAATCCATTTGAAGATTGTCTTGTTCCCTAGGGATATACCTCATGAGAAGGGAAATAATGACAGAAGGAGAATCTTATGAATCAGACAGCTACAGGTGCCTCCCCCTTACCCAAGAACTGGCTAGATCTACTGATCTATGGGAACCTAAGGGACAGATGTCACCTCCTTCTCGTGTCAAGCAATGCCTTGAAGAGGTAGAGGTATATCTGCTTCAGGGGAGCAGCCAAGGCAAGCTATTTATAGTTTCTCTTATCCTTAGAATCTATGTCCAAAATGTCCATGCTTGCTTCTGCTCCCACACAGTCACACAACTTGAAGCACAGCCACTCATAAGTCCACTGCAACTGAGGGAAGAGTCCTTTTTTTTCTACCAAACCTAATTTTCCTAGAGCTGAAAATACAGAACTGAACTGTAATTTTGGAACGGTGAAACTGGTTTTTTTTTGAGGTGATAATGATGTTGTGTATTTGCTCATGGAAATTTGGCAATCTTTTCAGATTGAACATTTTTCTTTGAGAAATTCCCGCTGTTCCTGTGTAGTAAGTACTTTAGAAGAAACTACTCACATATTTTACTGTCAATTCTTATTTTATAGGATCTGGGCCAAACCATATTTAAAAAATACTGCACACCACAAGAATTCATTCACAGTCATGAATTCTTTCTTTCTTTCTTTCTTTCTTTCTTTCTTTCTTTCTTTCTTTCTTTTTTTCTGCAATGTGCATAAAGGTGTTTTTTTTCCTTCCTTTTGAGCAAGTCACAGATTATAATCTAGACTGTTTTACTCTCAGTAGACAATTCCTTTGAAACTAATGCAGGCAGATAGAATCTATGTTCCAACTCTACCCATGCCCTTGGGATTTGTGTCTCTATGTCTGAGAGCCATTTTTTTGGATGTTCTGAAATCCACCACTGCATACTCCTTGGTATCCACAAAAGTCTGTCCCATTCCCTTTCACACACCTTCAAGGGGAGATGAATTTAATTTTTTTTTTAAAAGATAGTTCTTAATGAAACTGAGGAAATTAACACATAAAACATTAGATTAAAATAGCTTAAAGGGATGGATTATGATAACAAGCCAGGAAACTAAAAGTTAAGCTAGAAGTATTCCTCCTGTTCCTATTGGAATGGGGAAATAAAGATTTCTAACTTAGTCTCCAGGTAATTTATCTTCCCTACTGCCACTGTCCCTTATTACACAGACAGAAACTTCTGTTCCCCTTTGAACAACAGAATAATTGCATGAGAAACCAAGCCAAGCTCTGTCCTTATGGCTAGCTGCATCCAGTCAGTGGGTGCAGAAGGAAGTAACAACAAAAACATTTTGGGAAAGGGAAGGAAAAATAAAGATGTTTGTATTTACTGTTAAGAAATATTGAAAATGCTCTTTTGTATTGTACGACGCCTCATTGCCGCTCAGGCATTGCTTTGGAGTTTAGCTTTCATGGCATCGGCTTTTGAAGACTAGCAGCAGTCCCAGCAATTACCAACAGTGCTGCTAATCCATTCTCCGCAGACATGAAGAGAGAGCTAGGTTGGTCAGCCTCTGATGTTTCCATGTTGAATAGATGTCTGTGGCTGAGGGACTTAGGGCAAAGACCACATGATGACGGGGTACGCTCGTCACAGATGCCTCAATGACTTTGCTCAAGACATTGAGGTCAGAGACAGGATGTTAGTCAGTTAAGTCACTGCTATCGCACAGAAGCAAGGGCATGTTTCTGTAACAGCTACACAAAACAAGACAAAACAGATGAAGAGGGGTTTTTTTTGTTTCCATCTGCTGGTTTGTCCTTAAAGCTGGTGAGATCTATTACAACTCTTTTTTTCCCTCTCACTGGCTATAAAATGAATTTTTACTGGAAGAATTTGCTAGTATTTTCAGAATGAATGCAAACAAATCAGAATAATGAGGATACAAATAGCCTGACTAGGCTAAAGGGTTCTTTTTACTCATTTTAGCACTAAATTAGTTGACTCCAGTGTGTTCTGATGCAGTAATTCCCATGTGTTTCACATACAGACTTGATTTATAGTTTAGTCCCATCCAAACTTCACTGCAGTTTATTTCATAATTCTCCAATTTTAATCCTATGTTGGTGAGTTCTTTTTAGTCTACATGTTTATATGATTTTAAGTTCTAATTTATTTTTCTTCCTTTCTTTCCCTCACACTTTTTTTGGTTCCTCCAGTGCAGCGCACTGTCACATTTACTTCCCCACACTTAACATCTTCTTGGCTCCTACCTTTCACTGACAGACATACATTGAGAATTATGTGTTTCCTACAACCATGTCCATTAATGGCTAATGGCAGATAGATGTACTGGAAAAGCATAACTTGCAGAGCACTTCAAACACTGTAAATTATCCATCAGTATTATTTCTTTGCCTTAATAAATGTGCCCTGGTCAAACACAAGTTCCTCTGCACTGCTGTCTGCAAATGTGTGACCAAAAGACAAATATCAGAATTGCATACAAAAGTATTTGTGGGGAAGGGATTGCATGTTTTCATGCATGAGTAATTGTGCCAGGAGAGAATATTCATCATATGACTTTCTGTTGAGTCCCAACTAAACCCCCCAGACAGCAGTTTTATGTGCCCTCAGAGAACATGTTCTGATCAGTTTAGAGAGAGTAAAAATATTGACAAAAAGACTAAGTGTGTAGTTATGAAAAAGGAAGCTGGGTATTAGGCAAGCCAATAGACAGGCTGCATTGGTTACATGGTTGTATTGTTGTAAATGAATAAATAATAAATTTCAATTGTTGCTTGTTCATATATTGATTCATTTGCATGCTGGTGGCGTTTAGATGTTCAGAGGAGAGTACCAATGTTAACTACAGCTAGCTTGTGCAAACAGAGACCAAAGAAAGTCCTTGTTCCTGGCAGACAAAAATTCAAGCATTAGACATGAAGACATAGTGGGATGAATGTAGAATAGCATATTTCTTTTTCATTGGGGAATGTAAGAATTGTTACCTCGTAGACTATGAAAGCATGATATCATTATGAAAGGAAGAGGGGCAATTTTCATCAAAATTCACAAGACTACAACCCCCTGGAGTCAAAGTACCTTGTCAGTTAATGGTTTGTGCTCTAGGGAGAACACAGATATTATGCTGTGATTTTGAGTGTGTGCGTGTGCACAGCAAGAATAAGAGAGAAAGCTTCTTTCAGATGAGACACTGAATTGTAGATGCAGACTGGCAAACAGAAGGGAACCAAAGGAACAAGATTTGTTGCTGAACAGTTTTAGTGAGGAAGTATATATATTTTGGGAAAATAAAGTAAAATGAATGCTTCTATCCTGTACTGCATATGTGCCAATATAAAAAAATCCAGGTTTGATTTGAATAGCTTAGAGAACTGAGGCTCAGGTCATCTCTGTTGTTTCTTTGAACTAGTTCCTCCACCCCTTATTGCTACATGTCCACATAATGCTTCAAACATATTAATCAGCTCATGTCTGAAAATGTCTTCAGTTGGCTATAGTGTGAGTAAGGAATCCTATCAGCATCCATCAGATTTCCAAAACCACCACTCAGCTAAAAATCCCAAGCTATGCATCAAGAATTTACTTTAGCTGAAAACAATGTAACTTAATACTAACAAGCTTAAAATATTAGGCAATAAACTAATTTCACTCACTTAGCTTCAACTCTACCCTAATGTACATGCTCTGATGCCATATGGAACCATGTAACAGTGGAGCACAAAGGGCTCTGGAGTCTAAACTAAGTTGCCTCTTTAGTATTTCTCACAAATAAAAGTTTATTCGGTTGATCTCTGGTTGAGCTGCAGCAATTTCATTAACAGTCAGTTAAGCTCTCCCAGACAAAATGGAGAACGGAAAAGAGATCCCCTACTAAATTAAAAGAAAAGATAT